TCGCTCGGATTTGATTTTGACACCTCTATGGCCAAATTGGAGTAAAAGGAACGGCAGATGAGCCGAAAACTGTGGGTACAGTCCGGCGGCACCACCGCAAAAAAAAAACTAAAAATCACCTCTGATAAGCCCCTTCCTGTTTTCTGTTTCATACGATTTTTTCACCATTGTGTTCATCATTCTGTTTTCTATATGTTCACAAAAAAAAGGCTCAGCCGCGAAGGTGAGCTGGCAGAGCTACCACACCAAAAAATTCTATCACCGATAAATTTTTATTTTTCGATTTTTTTGGGCCAAGTGAGACCCTTTAATGTGTTTTCTTGCAGAGATGAGTATAAAATCGGCTGAAACCGGTCAAAACTAGCAAAAAACGGTCAGTCCGAGGCAAACCGTCACCGGAGTACGGCGGTGCCAACTTGCCAAAATTCTAAAATTGGTCGAAAAATAGTTGTAACACCAATTTTGGATTTTTGGAGTATTTTTATGTACGTAAAGTGTGTTTTAATCTCTGCATAAAAATTCAGAAAGTCCGGGGACCGCCAATAGGAGCAGTAGAAAGTTCAGTATTTCAGACATCGATTCGAGTAAAAATCTCTCACCTTATTCTCTGTTATGGAATTGAAGTCTAATTATAAATAATACGGTATTTTGCGAAGTTTAAAAAACTTCGATAATTAATTACATGTTACTAAGGGAGCCAAAACCAGTTATTAATTACTGTTTGTCTTATTTTAACTGATTGTTTGATTTAATAGTTTTAAAAGTATGATAATACACTGAAATTGGTAAGATGATTCAGTTGTGTTTTCTTGATGCATGTATTGCTTGTCTTGCATTATTTACAGTTAAATTGTGAAACTAAAAATTAAATGTAAATGAAAAATTAATTAGTTAAGTGAATGAATGAATAATAACTTTATTGGATATCTTGTTCGCTCGTTCGCAGCACAATCTTCGATTTCCTTTCTTTATTTGGCTTTCGCTCCTCCCCTGTCAGCCTAGGCGACTACTCACCTGCTCGCTAGCAGTAACCACCAACTGCATAATAGGATATGGTGGAAGGACGAG